GTTAACAGTGTCTGGGAGGCATCGGGCCTGATTCTCATTCTGCTCAAACCCTTAGGGGTGATGGGCAAGGGGAGAACCTCTGGGAAAAGTCTGAGGCTCCCAGCACACCTGGAACCGTTGTAACTATTGCCTGTGAGAGCGTTTTGCATTTCAAAACAAATCCCCTCTTCTATCTATGGCAGGGGCCCACACCCAGCGTCTCTGATGGCTCGGGTACAGGGCGCAACTGGAGAACTGCCCTCGGGCGCTCTCGGGCATGGCAGAGCTGTTCACCCCCCAGCGGAGCGGGTATCCAGCGACGTCCACCTTTCTCTGCCTTCACCCTTTCTCTTACCTGCCAGGTTTGCATGCGCCAACTCCACTCCTCACTCCAGAAAAGCTCTCTCCTCACTTTGGGGAAAATATTTCATGCTCCTCCTCCTTGAGGTGTGAGTGACTGATAAGGAAGGCTGTGTACATCACCCCACCCCAGAGCCCCTGCTCTCCATCCAGGAGCAAAGCCTTAAGACAAAGAATGACACTTTCATGATAGAATTTTGGGTGTCAGGGGGCTGAGTGTTTCTGGGTGGGACCAAGTGCCACCCCCACAAAGGGTCACGTTCTGTAAGCTGCCACTTGCTTTGTCTAAGTCCCGAAGGAATTGCCACCGTTTTATTCCCAGCGCCCACCACGGTGCCGTGCATACTGTCAGTGCTCAATAAATGTGCGACGCGTAAAGAAACGTCAGTGGCTGTGCTGGTACGAGACAGAGGCCTGTGGGTTGCCTGCAGTAGGTCTGAGAGGAAAGCGAAGTCCTTCCAAACCTCCCCAGTGACTCATCACAATCGGGCCTCTAGGTGGATCATAGGCCAAGGCCCCTCCCCAAACTGACCTGCCCATCAGATGATCAGCTGAGGTTCCATCCATGCATGCATGCGTGCACGCATGCATGCGAGTCACTGCTGAGTTGTGTGCGAACCGACTCCAAAAATGGAGACGGCACAGCCTTGGCCTTGAAGGGTGCACCCTGTGGCACCTGCAGGAGCTCTGTGCAGGCGCGGCAGCAGGGAGTGAGGGGAAGCCTTGGGTCTCCCGGGAAAAATGCTCGGCCTCTCAGATGGTGAGCTGGGATGACTCAGCAAAAGCCTCCCAGGATTGGGAGGAATAGAAGACTCAGAGGAGGCCGCGGGCTTCTCCTCCTGGGCCTCCTGCAGGGCCTGCTCCCCGTGCTCTCGGCCACCCCGATCTTCAGGGACACATGAGCTTTAAGAAAAGGGGGCCGGTGCACCCATTTCATGGATGAAGAAGAGGAGGTCCAGGGACTTCCAGCCACATCCTCTCTCTCCTGGGTACCAAAGCTACACGACTGGCAGGCAGGACTCACCTTCCTCTCCCTCACCCCGATCACGTCTGGGTTAGTGGTCCCTTCCACTGTTACTGTCGCCGATGCCATCCCCTCCACTGACAGCTGTGGGGTACTCACTCAAGTCAAAGCACTTCACAAGTGTTAACCCTTAAAATTCTCCTAATTCTCTTAGCATCCCCACTTTACAGGTGGAAAAATTGAGACCTGGAGAGATGAAGTGGAACAACTGGAAAATGCTAGAACCAGGATCTACACCCAAGAGCTTTCTTTCCAGAGCCCACTCTCTCAGCCACCACACCAAACTACCTTCATATACCTGAGGAAACTGAGTATCAGAGAGGTTAAGGGTCTTGCCTGAAGTCACACAGCGAGGAGCACTGGTGTCAGGATTCAAACTCAGGTCCAGCTGCTCCCAGAGTCCCACATGGCAGCTCCGGAGGCTCAGCCAGCAGCTGGGGATAGGGAGCAGGAGCAAGAGGGGGCTGTGGTGCCCCCCTCACATGCCAGCACCTTGAGGACCCCCATCGTGGGTGGCTGCTGAATAATTTAAGCTCATCGGCTCCGGCCCACCACTCCTCACACTGGGGGCTATTTTTAGCCCAGGTCACAGGCACAGTGCCCGGCAGAAAGGAACTGCATTGCTGGCTTCTCACCGTCTTCACATCGGCTGCTACTCTCCACTCAAAAGGGCGAGAGAGCAGCAGACAGGACCACATGTCACGGTGGATTTTATTAGAAAGTCACAAACTCAATGATCCACATAAAGAGAAAGAGAGAGAGAGAGAGATGGGGGAGGCACAGGTAAATAAATAAAGAGTAAAAACCACATGCTACAAGTAATCCCCCAGAGCACCTACCCCGCCTGGAAGGCAGGGCCTTGGACAGGCACCCGGGACGTGTGGGAGCGATAAGAGGAGGAAAAAGCACAGCCAAGTGGGGAGACTGACCCCCAGGCCACCCTGCGAGAGTGCAGGATCCCCGGCCCTGCCTCCCTTCTGTGAGTGAGAAAGGCAATGTCCACGCCTATGCATCCCTGGAACCAGCCCGGGCTGGCGAGGTGCTCCTGCCCCCCCTCCACATCCCAGGCTGGCTGGCGAATGCCGGAGCCAGGAGTGAGGGGACGATGCCTCGTTTGTCTCCAGGATGGTAGATCCGCAGGTCACTGTGCCATGGCTCACTAGGGGGTCTTGGGAAAGTTGCTTTCCCGCTCTGCCCTCCTGCCCCCAGAAGGGGTTAGATTAGGTCAGAGGCTCTGAACTTGAGGTGCACTGATGGGCATTAGGGAGGGCCCACAGCCGCCCGATGCTGAGTGTTCGAGTAAGCATGCCTCTTCTCAGGGCGGCGGCACTCAAAGTGGCAGCCTTTGCTGTCACCCCCAGGAGGAGTCTCTAAGGGGCCTCCACTTGCTGCAAAATCCAGATGCCTGCGCACCTGTCTGTACTACACCGGAAGCAGAGCCCTCTCCACCTGAGCACGGCATTCCAGGAACCTACTGGAGTTGTCACAAGAAAGCCCCCTACCCCACCCCTGTTCACCCCAAACAGGGACTCCTCAACACGCGTGATGCATTCCCAAAGGCAGTGCTGACCCTGCCTAGAAACCTGTGTGCACATGTGTGCACATGCATGCACACGCGCTTAGCACACACAGAACCTCAGGGCTGGAAGGGGCTTCGGGGTTGCCCTGACCAACTGCCGTATTGCACAGGCGGGGAAACCGAGGCCAGGGAAGGGGAGACGGAGCTGGGGCCAGAACCCAGGTCTCCTGCTCTAAGTGCAAGGCTCGTTCCAGAGGCTCCCGTCTCCCTCCCGCTGGTGCACCACATTGCACCATTTCAGATGTGATGGGGGAGGAGGGAAGGCTGCCTCTTGGATCTTGGCCACCCCCAAGGAAGTAAGACTGGGAGACAGCAAGGAGCTGCTTGAGAAGCACCCACATGGGGACAACCCAGCCCTGGCTCCCTCGGCTGGGCTGACACGCACCGCATGGCCGACCAGTCACTAAAATATCAAAACGCTCCCCTACCAGATGGTGATGTGGCACTGAGGCCCCTGTGGCTCCCTCAAGTCTTCCCCAGTCCACCCTGGACCCTCAAAGGTCAACACTCAGCACTGCAGGGGACCCCGGAGATCGCCCCCTCCAGGGCCCCAGACATGGTCCAGCCTGCCTGGTCAATGCCAGAGTTTGGTGTGTTAAATGCCACCCACAGCCAGATCTGTGGCTCCGTACTGGCACTGAACTTCCTCACGTTCATCATTCACATGTGAGGCTTCCCGGGAAGGAAACTCACGCAACTTTGTTCTCAAGGTCACCCTGTGAAGGAAGCCTGGGATTTGAGGACCGAGTCTTGGGCACTAACCACCGAGAAATCCTCACCTCTGCTTTACATGTGCTGTCCGAGCAGGCACGCACCCTGGGATTTTGGCGTCCCCACGGAGCCCCGGGGCTGGAGAACATGGCTGAGTGGGCCCTGCGTGCGTTCCAGGCTCGCCGGTCTCGGGACTGAGGTTTCATCCCTCCCACCTCCAAGAACAAGAACTTAAAGTGGAAATCCTTAGGGAGGCAGAAGGACTGAAGCAACCCCTGAGATTACAGCACAGATGCTAAAAATAAAGGCCTTCATTTCCAGAAAGGTAGCTGGAGTCACAGGAGGAAGCAAAGAGAAATCCCCTTTTGGTAAGTCACAGCTTAGCCGCAAAGTCACTTTAAAATTAAATGTGAGTTTCTGGATTCACTTGCAAAGGACCTCCACCTGCCACTCACTAACAGGTTGGTGCAGGTTTATCCCAACAGGATCTCAGATAATTACAGCGGGGTGTGCTCTACCCTGGAGCCCTTCCCCGGCACCGGAACAAACCCTGCTCCCTTCTCTCCCTGCTCGGAGATGGGCTCGAGGATGGAGCCTCCCAGGCTGGTGCCAAGATGCACGCCCCCCCCCAACCCCGATACAATCACTCACAGGTTATACCACCTGTGAAAATAAAACATCATCCGCTCAGCATGCAGCTGGATGCTCCCCTCTGGCCCACTCGACCACTCATTCCAAGGAAAATGCGGTCCCTCTGTGGCTCCCAGGTCATATCAGGAAAATCAGAACAGCCTCAAAAAAAACCCCACCACAATGAATTACTCCGCTGTCCCTGGAAGATGAAACAATCTGAGCCCTGTCCTGTGCAAGTCTCACCTGGTGTGCACAGGTGACACCAGGCAAGGGTTAACCTTCCAGCCTCAGGTGACCCTCTCCCCTCTAGGGCCAAGGTGCCCACCCACTCGATCAGAATACCCAGAGACCCTCCGTGCCAGGCTGGCCCTCCCCACGAAGGGTTAATTCACTCAGAGGACTGCCGACTACTTCCAACGGCTTCTACTGCAAGGCAGAGGCCAAACCAGGCAGGACCCACGGTTTCTATCACAATGCCTAAGATGTGAGCATGTTCTACCCCCTCCTCGGGCACTGAGCTGAAATATAATTTGGCTCTGAGGTGCCACTTGGGTGATCAAACACTGCAGGATGTGGGCAAATAAACGTGGCCGTCCCTCAACACCCCTCCCCTCCCACCTACCCACCACCCCACCAGCTCCTCTACACACCTGCTTGCAACCGGGGTGCCGACGCCCCCCGCCCATTTGCACAATTTAGGGGAACAGCACTTACCGGCACCAGAAGACTGCAGGGGGAACGGCGGGCTGAATCCTTGCCAACGCCCCTTCCCTGCCGGGTGGGAAGATGTTAACTTCCGATGACTTGGTTTGAAAGCTCAGTGGAGGTGCCTGAAAGAAAATTGTTCATTTGACTCTCCTACTCTTCCCAAAATAAAATCTAAGAACCGACACACACACATAGACACACTCACACACAGAAACTATCCCTAAACCACGCAGAACCAAGACAAAAAGAAATACCCCCACCAGAAGGGGAGGAAAGTCCGACCGGTCCGTGCACACGGCAAAGACCGTGGCTCCCTCAGACTGTGCTCCACATGGATGAAGGTTTTTCTCTGTAGTCTCTCTCTCTCTCTCCCTCTTCTCCCTCTCTGTCGTCCGCCCGCGTAGGCAACTCCAGGCGGCTGGCAGGCGACGAATCAATTGCTTCCACTGCCCGAAATCAGTGGCAGCTGCCTCCAGTGCTGCAAAGCCCTGTGCTGAGCAAGGCAGGGGGCAGCAGCTTCTCGGCGCAGGGGAACCAAGCCTGCCTCCCACCCGTGATTTATGGGTGAGGTGCCTGGAGAAAGGTGGGAGGCGGGAGGAGAGGTTGGGCGCACCAGAGATCCCAGCGGGCCGAACGGCAGTCGGGAGCTTGGCGATCAGCACCGCGGACAGCGCTAAGCTGTGGCGGAGGAGGGGATGGGCGGGAAGCGAACCCTCAGGCAGAGAAGTTGAGTTATTGGACGGTTTTAGCAGAGAAGAGGGGAGTCCAGGGAAAGGAAAGGAGGGAGATGGGACTTCTCGCCATCATGCAGTGAAGTCTGTGACAGCCTACCTCTCACACACTTGTTCTAATATTGTCACTCACAGAGCAAAGGAGCCGTCACTTCGCAGGCCCTTTCCCACACACGCCCCCAGACCACCACCACTCGGCTGGGCTCAGAGAAGAGTTTGACCCCAGTGGGGGAACCTTCATGTGTTTTTTCCCCAACAGCTGATTTCTGTCCTCACCCATGTTATTGCAGATTTCTGATCTGGACCTGGGGAACCTCCGGGTTCAGAGTTGGGAAGCTGAGGAATAGGACACAGAAATGTTTAAGGGACAGGATGGCTTAGTTGAACAAGCAGCTGACAGGTTTCTGGATCCCAGGTCTAACCCCCCATACAACCTTGTGAGAGTCATTAATGTCTCCAAGTCCTGTCTATAACATCAGGTTTCGACTACTTGATTTTCCTAAAGACGGAAAGAGGTTAAAAAGCAACAACGAGAACACACAAGAGGTAGCTGCTCTGGCCCCGTGACCCTGGGCAGGGTGTCAGAACACCCTGTCCTGCGATTCAGATGTTCTGACAGACAGAGAGGAATCGACAGCCCACCCAGGGTGGTACGTGACGGTCCCTGCTTCCAGCACGCGGTTTGAGCGGGATGGCCTTGGGGGATTCCTGAAGGTCTAGATCAGACAACTGAGCCCTGGCAACAGACCCGTCCCCAGAAGATCCAGGCTGGCCTTCCGTGAAACTGCTGCATGGACAAGAAAATGCAACCAGGGAAACACACGAAGAACCACTGAGTCCCATGGCTCCCGTGTCTGGGAAAGGACAGGAAATCTCAAACAGACCAAGGTCTGTTCAGACCTCCTCTGCAAGGTGAAGGACGGCCCTCGTCATTGGGGACCCTCCTCTAAAGAATGCCACTCAGATGGCCCAGGGCGAGCTATCCCATTTGTTATTTAATACTTGCCTTAAAAAGCAGAACTTAAAATGTCAGAATTTAGAGACCATTTAGAGCCTCACTTTATAGATAATCATGACCATGATCTCAGGATGGTGGTAATGGTGGTGAGGATTAGTGATGGTGGTCTTTATGGTGATGGTGACAATGATTTTGGTGGGGGGGAGTGTGAAAGGCAGCTATCATTTATTGAGAACCAATTATGCACCAGCTGCTCTGCTACAAACTTCACCTTGAGCCTTCCCCATGACCCTGTGAGGGTACTACTATTGTCTCCATTTTACAGATGAGGAAACTGAGACTCAAGAAGTTAAGTCTCTTGCATAAGGTTTCACACTAAGTGGTGGTACAGAATTCAAACCCAAGGTTGTCTGATTGCAAAGCCCATGTTTCAGAATGTCAGAGTCAAGTTCAAGGGCATGCTATCGTTTTTCTTTTTTTGGCCAGGGTCTCACAGAATCTTTTCTGGGAAGGCCATGTGATACAAGTTCAATGCCTTCACTTTACATACGGAGAAACTGAGGACCAGAGAAAGGCAGTCCATGGGCAAAAAGCTAGGTAGTAGCAGAGCTGAATCTAGAACTCAGCCTTTCAGATGCCAGGGCCTGTGTCCTAGTGCCCAGAACACTGACAGGCACACCGGCCTGCAATGAACACCTGCAAAGTGATTCAAGAAGCCCAGAGAGGGACTAAAGTCACACAGGCTGCCGGTGGCAGAAGCAGAACCCCAGTAGTTCCCAAGCCTTTTGGCTCCTGGTCCCAAGGAATGTCTCCTCCACCTCACAGCTTCCCTGGGTCTCAGACTCTTGTTCTCAGAGGGTCTGCTGTGAATTCACCTTAGGGGATCAAAATAGCTACCAGCTGCTAAAGGCCGAGAGGTCTCCCATGTGCCGGGCGCTCTAGAGTTACCGTCACCAGTCTTGCAACCTTGTCCCCCTTTCATCCGAGAAGACCGAGGCTCAGACAGGTGAGGTGACGCCACAGCAGCAGCGGGGGCAGGAATGCGAACCCCAGGTCTGACTCCAAAGCCTGCGGTTTTGCCACCCGGCTAGTGTTTCCTCAAATGGGGCCCCCTAGAGGTCCCTGTGGGAGTGAAGAGGAGGCTCGAGTTGCTGCCCCTGCCCCCAGCTCTGGTTTCAGCAACAGCAGTTTGTGCTTTTCACTGTTCTGCATACTGGGCATCTGCCCAAGTTTTCATTGAAACAGGGCTTTGCAGCAAAATTAAAAAAAAAATGATATGGTTGAAACCAGAACCCTGCACCTCTCCTGGTGATCATGCCATCTAGGAACTGGCCCTGGGATTCTCGGGGATTTAGTCCCCACCCTCCCCTCCTCCCTGGTCACCATGTCCAAACCCTCTCCCGTCCTGAGAGCCCTTTGTCCGAAGAGCCAGCTGCCGCTATGACCTCTAACGGTCCCGCAGCCGGGAGCTGCCTCTTTACCACTCACCTCGGGGCTGAGCTGGCCCCGCCCCAACCCTCTCAAGGCTGGAGCCCTGCAGAGGGGTTTCTGGGGGCCCTGGATTCGGCGGGCTGCCCTGTCCTGTCCTTGTTCTCCTGAGGCTGGAGGCAGCCCAGGAAGGCTCCCCTGCACCCCCAGGGAGGACGGGGAGCAGCAGCGGGTGGCGGTGACGACTCCACCAACCAGAGCTACCCACTGTGCTCCGCGGGGTTCCTGTGCACCGCACTAGCTTTTATCCCCACAGCAGCCCTAGGGGTTAAGATGATCACTGTTTTATTTTCAATTTTGCAAATGAGAAAGTTGAGACTCTGGCACCGAATGCAACTAGCCTGAGGCCAGTCAGCTCCTAAGTGGCCAGACTGGGACTTGAACCAAGGCCCTCTGAGTTTCTAACTACTTTGCTATAGGGCATCCCTAATTGTAATGGTCTCTCCCATTTATTTTTGGTGCTCATTATGCAGCGTGTGACATGTTCTGTCACCCCAGGGCTTTTCATGACTTATAACAGTGCAATAAAGTTGTTACACTATTTGCTCGTCTCAGAGATGAGGAACTCAGAGACAGAGAGGTTAGGTGACTTGCCCCAGGTAACACAGAAAGAGGGAGGATGCAGAGCGTGAATCTAAACAGTCTGCTTCAGGGTCCATTGTGCCGGACTGTCTCCAGGGAGATGGGCACTGAGGTCGCCCAGAAAGAAAGAATGCTCCCCCCACCCCCAAAACGTTCCCATTTCACTTGGCAAGTGGGGCAGGAAAGCGGCCTCTAAAGATGCCCACGTCCTAACCCCCGACGTGGTGACTACACTACCTTACGTGGCAGATGCAGCTTTACGGATATTTAGGGATCCTGAGATGGGGAGAGAGTCTGGGCCCCCTGGGAGGGCCCAGTGCATCACAAGAACTCTTACAAGGGGAAAAGCAGAGGGAGGAGGTCAGAGAGGAGAGGTCATGATACAGTACAGACGAGATAGGGGGCGGGGGAGAGCGAGATGCTGTTGCTGGCCTTGAAGACGGAGGGAAAGAGGCACAAGCCAAGGATTGCAGGCGACCCCTCGAAGCTGAAAAAGCAGAGGGAACTGATTTTCCCAGCATGTCCCAGAGGAGTCCTACAGTGTATGTGTGTGTGTGCACATGCTCCTGCACACGTGTGTATGCGTGCACATGCCCCCACCTGCGTGTGCACCCTGAAGGAGGCCCAAGCAGAAAGGACCGGTGCTCACAGCTTCCGCCCGGCCTCCAGGCTCCGGCTGGATGGCACCGCCGGGCACACTGCAATATTCACTCCAACCCTCTCTTTTAAGAGCCTCTGGGGAAACGCTCTCACCAGGAACACAAAAAGAAAGCAGTGTCACCCTCATCCCAGGGGACCCAGCAGAGACAAGGCAAGTAAGTGGGAGAGAAGCACAGGAGAGCAAGAAAGAGAAAGAGAGAGAAAGAGAAAGAGAAAGAGCTAAAGAGAGAGAGAATAGCGGGGTCCCCGAGGCGGCCCATGTGTCCAAACAGACCCTGTCCCCTGGGGAAAGCAGCAAGTCTGAGGAGGCTCCTCGGTCCCCGTCGGAGAGGACAGGGTCATTACAGAGAAGATGCCACAGGACAGGGGAAAGGGAGCTTGTAAGACAAGTGGACAAGTATTATTTACTAATCAGTCGATTCGCCGCTACGAGGCAAGGCACTGCAAGGGGAGAGACAGGGACTTGCCTTCCGGAGCTCTGAGCTGGATTCTCGGCTCCCCCATCCACCAGCCATGTGACCTTGAACATGTCACTTGTGTGCCCTGAGCCTGGGTTTCCTCTGCTGTAAAATGGGACGGTAACACCATGCCCGGGACACGTCACTGGGCTAATAATGGATGTGAATGAGCGATGTATAATCTAGACAGGGAAGAGCAGCTACCATGTACTGAGTACCTACTGTGCGCTGCGTGCTTCACTTGT